TCAGTTCATAGGTCCCGTTGTAATTCAGAACACACATTGTGTAACAATATTATAGTTAACTAAAGTTAATTATCTTTGTGAAAGTCATGAAGAAAGAAAGAAAACAAGAAGCTCTGTTGTTGGTTGTTGAGTGGCCATTGTCCAATTAGCTAGCTACAATATTTACTTCACTTGTGAAGATAATAAGAATATGCAAAGCTCCATATCCCAACTATTTTGTTTTTAGCTTACTATATATTAGACAACTTAATCGTTAAATTATTATTGTATCTTTTCTATTATAATTATATTAAAATAGATAGATAAAAATACACAATATTTATGTATCAATTTTTTTTTTTTTTTTAATTTAATTTCATGTCACACTGGTACAAAAATATATTAAAAACCAAAAATCTAGAAGTATGACTCTAAAATTGATAAAATACAAACAAAAAATTTGATTTTTCTACTCCATTAATTTAACACTTCATCGGATAATTTTATACAAGAGTACCATGCATGAGGGTGAGGGCTTCTTGTAATTGTTTATTATCGAATATAGCAATTCATTAAGCAGAACATACATTGGTTTGATATTATTTTCAATCTTTCATTTTATTAATTTGTCCAATTGAATAGTTTATCATTTTGTAATTTTCCAAATGTTGAAGCTGATTTGATTGTAGTTTCTAGAAATATATTGGGCTCTTATAAGGCCCAAGACTCATAGGCGCGTGGCAGACCATTATTAGGAGGAATTATAGTGCCCTATAAATTGGTCTTTAAACCTAATCGAATTGTAATAACGCCGTGGACCCGTGGTCCATATCTATATTGACAATGTTGATAAAATTAACACATAATTATTTTTTTTTTTAATAGTTATGATATAAATTCGATATTTTTTTTAACCTATACTTACCAAACACACTGAGAGAATTTTTTTTAGTCCAGCACAAATCTAATTTCTATAGAAAAAATAAAATTAAATCATATTTCCTACTATAATAATATGTATTATACGATTAACCCTCATTGTGATTTTATTTAACCTTTTCGTTAGTTAGGTGCACCACGCGAGTATGTAATTGTATGGTGCGGCCTAATTGTTCATTTTATACAATAGTAGTGTAATTGTATATTTGTATGTCTACAATATTAATGCATTGAATTTCTTAGTTATGGCCACACATTTCATAAGCAAATTAGTATATATATATATCAAACTCTTTATATTAGAGCACTGCTAAAACATTAATCTACCAATTAATTAATTACGCTTGAATAAAAATATTGCATAAATTAATTAATTAATTAGCAGTAATGATACGATAATTATGCGGTCCGATGAATTCGGGTCGGGCCAGCCCGCGAAGCTTCCTCTCTTTGATAGCCGGATCCTCCAACATGAGAACCTTGTCTTTATCCTTGACTCCAACCATGTGCAGGTGTTCATCATCTTCCCTTTCTTTTCCTTTGAACAATAGCCTTTGCTCTTTCGTCCCCAAATTTGTCAACAACGACAACAATACCTTCAATTCTCCTATACAAAGATTTATTTATTTAAAACAAATTATAATTAATCAATAAGAAAAATATATATTATATATAGGTGATCAAATAAAATTATTCATATTACCAAATATATATATATATATATATCAAGAAATAGCGAACAATGAAGCACAAATACGACACGATACATGTAAATTAATTAAGTTACAACAATTTATGAAATCTAAAATGGAGTGTTTAATTACCAAATGTTGAAGTTGGTTGAATTGAAATATGATGCCATTTTGAGACGGTGGAGATTCTAATTGTAATAACCCCTTCTTCGTTATTAGTATTCGACTCTCTTTTCTGGACGAGCATGCCACCTGGCCTTACTTCCCATTTAATCTCACCGGTGGCTCTGCCGCCGGAGTTGGCGGCGCCGGTGCCACTTGTTGGCTTAGAGCTGCTCCTGGAGAACATTTTTGGCCTTAGCTTTATCATTTTTTTTTTCTAATTAGTTCTCTCTCTCTCTCTCTCTCTCTCTCTCTCTTTATATTTTTTCCCCTTCTAAATTAATTTCTTTTTTTTCTGTGGAGTTGTAGTTGTGATGTAGGAAGAAAGTTGATGGGGTTTCTTCAACTTATTTATAATAGCTGACAGGGGCCAATATGTAGACAAAATTGATGTCTCAATATTATTATATTAAGTTGTCTTAGCTTGAATATGGCATAATACATATTTATTTTTTTATTAAAATATCTAGACTAATAAATAGTATTATTAATTAATAAATGAGAGAACGATTTTGAGATTTTGACACATGGGATGAATATGGGTTGAATTTCATCATTTGCTTATTTTATGGGGTGCTATGGGCTGATTGTTTATCATTTGTACAGTATTTTTTTTACTCAAATTCAAATTTAACTCAACTTTAACTCAATCACACTATTTCTAATATTATTATATAATTAAATAACATCAACAAATCATTATTACATATCACATCAACTTTAATTCACTATTCATCTCCTCACATAATTTTAACTAATTTTAACTAACTATCACTTCCAATCATTTTCTCTTACTTTTACATCAAATCAACTTTAACTATTTTATTTTAAATACTATTTTAATATATCCACTAACAACTAACCATACCACTTTTTCTTAAACTTAACCATAATTAAAAAATTCTAGATTTTTTACTATTCAAAACATAAACAATCACCCCCTAAGGCACATGGAGAGTGCGAGGGAGGTTTTTGTACATGCATGCATGGTTAGATTGATTAAACGTTTATTGAGCAATTAATTTTTTTTTAAAAAAAAATAAAATAAAATAAATGGACCAAAACGATTGAGTCCTCTCCTCCTCGTCTCCGGCAACCCCGGTGCCACCAGAACAGCAACCGCTCACCCTTGTGACGGCAGAGCAGCATCCAGTTCTGCCTCTCGAGCAAGCCGTCGACGAGCAAGCTATTGAGTCATCTCCTCCCTCGTCTCCAGCAACCCCGGTGCCACCAGAACAGCAACCGCTCACCCTTGAGACGACAGAGCAGCATCCGGTCACCCAGGTGACAAAACCATCACCTCAAGTCGTTGACCAGCCAAGCGACCTCCAACAAGCCGCCGACCAGCAAAATCCGCTACCTCCAAGTTCGGTGCGGATTCCTATCTTTGCCCTCATCCACGACCCAAATTGTGGCCCATCATTACCGACTCTCGGTAGGGCATCTCGAGCATCAGTGGTCTCCGGGGACGTAGCGGCTCCTCCACCTCCACTTGAGGTTTTGCCCTACCGTCTCTCCTCCAAACGGTCAGGGCATAGCAGTGCCAGATGACCACAACAACCACACGAGTAACAGATGTTTGGCAACATTTCGTATTCAATTCTCTGGATTTTCCCCCGAATAGTGAATTGAGTTCGAAGTGGTCTAGATAAGTCCAATTGAACAGCCATACGTGCAAACTTCCCTCGTGTCTTGGCTGCAGTTTGATGGTCGATCTTGATTACCTTCCCCACGATTAGCCCAATTATACGAAAGACTTTCTTATGATAGAGATATACCGGTAATCCCGGCAGACGGATCCATGCAACTGTGGAAGTAATTTGATTGGCAAATTTATCAAAATCGTCTGACCACTGTCGTACATGTAAGTAGTGTTTGTTGATAACCCATGGCCCTCCAACAAGAGCAGTCACTATGTCATCATGAGAACGAATTTGGATCATGAAATATCCATTTTCTGCGTCAAGGATAGGACAACCCTTGACGAATGGCCAAATCTCCAATAATTTCCTGTGCAACGTCTCCATATACGCATTTTAAGTCCAAATAGTTTAATGACGTTCACGTTGTCGAACGACTGTACACGAATCGCATAGAACGAGTCCTTTCATATTGATATTCGGAATAGGAGAATCAACATCCACGAAGACATCATCGTCCGGACCTTCCCCCTCGTCGTCAGACTCCATTGCGACGTGAGGGCGATTCTTGGTGAGGGTATTCTTAAAGATTAATGGTGGTGTCAGTTGACTCTGCGCCGGCGGCGGAATCGCCTTCTCCGTGCCGACATTTGTCGCCTTAGTCGGCGGCGGAGTTGTCTTCTCCAAACAAACAGTAGCTTCCGTGGTCGGCGGGCCGTCCTACAGCAAATTCGAAGAAACGACGTTGTTTCTTCGAATTGCGAGTTCCAAGAGGGTTTGTTGTGCATAACTCCGGCAAGGGCTCCGATGGATCAACTTTTGGGTGAACCGACTTCTTGAAGTTCGGCGAATCGTGCATTGCGGCTAGCCCTAGCATATCATTTTTTTCTAAATGAGTTTCTGATGCAGACCCTAGTAAGATATTGTCCGCTTTGGGCTACTTCCGCCACCCGCACGACTTTGTTCTTGGTTGGGCTTCAATACACACCCACCAAAACGCGTCTTACTAGTGAAGGTAT